ATATCAGCAAGGTGAACACAAAAGGAGAGGGAGGGAAGGAGAGAGAAATAAAAGGGAAAGAGGACAATGTGGAAGAAGAAAAATAGGAAAAAGGAAGAAGCGAGAACAGATTGAATTAATGGTGACTCTAGGCTATAATTGCTTTCATCTTGCCCGTATTTGACATTAATTACATGCGGTCACATGACTGCCTGCTAACCATATTTTAGGGCCTTTTCCTCCTGTATAGCTAGAACTATCCAAAACTCATCCACTTGTGACTCTCCACCCTGTTTCTTTCTGGGTCCTGTAGTATCATCTCAGTTGCTTTCATGTTTACATTCCATAAGGCTATATCCAAGGATTCTCCCCTGCCTCTTGGTATGATATCCACCAAGACCGAACAGCTTTCGAGGGACACTGGTAGATCTGTGCAAACCACTTGAAGGAGGGGCAAATTATTTGTAATTCATTTTTCAGTGACATATATATCATTCTAATCTTCTCTGATTGTTGCTTCTTTAGAATGTTCTCTTTGTTTGCACATATAATAAGTATTTAATGCATATCCCTATTCCTTTCATAAATCCAGTACCAACCGGATATACAGAATACCGTCCTCGATTGTATAAATTCTGGGATATTAATCAGAAATACTTATTTTTGGTGAAGAACGTGTTAGTGGCAGATGTGAAATTGTCTGGTTTATCAGGTACAAACTAAACTTTTTATTTTGTGCTTGAAAATTGCAGCCCTTCTCTTTGTCAAAATTATTGATGGGATACTTTGAGTGATGAAAAGCTGATGGCAGATATATCACTGTGGCTGATGGTCACATTTAACACTATTATTTATTTGTTTGTTTGTTTGCTTGTTTGTTTATTTATTTAGAAAATTTATATAGCCTCCTACTCGCTTGCAGTGAGTCCAGGCAGCTGGCGAACAATAAAAACACAGTATAGAAAAAGAAAATAAAAAACAATAAAAATAAAAAACAATAACCCCCTTATATTTTTCCCAGGGGCCTTTTGCTTTTTAAATCATATTGTTAGCCAGATACCAATGATTCCTCATCCCAAACATCTCCATCAACAGGAAAAAAACCTTTTCCATTCTTTCTTAACTCCTTGATCTTGTTTCTTGTTTTTCATTCTTTCCAGAGGAGTTACTGGTCGTGCTTCCTAATAGATCTCTAGATAAACCAAGACAACCCCTATTTATGGGCCCTGAAAAGAAGAAGAGCTGCTTGTCTTGTGTAAAGTCTGGGAATGGTCAATATCAGCTAGAGTTACAAGTGAGTGTTTGACTTGCATTACAAACATATTTTGCTTTCTCTAGAAAAATTGTCCTTTTTATTTATCCTTTTATTCTCAGTGATATAGTCCTTATTGCAGTGATGGCGAACCTTTTAGAGACCAAGTGCCCAAACTGCAACCCAAAACCCACTTATGCATCGTCGTGTGCCGGGTGGGCGTGGCCTTTGGGTAGGTGTGGCCCATTGGGTGGGCGTGGCTACGGTGGTAACCGCAGACTGGGTGGGACTAAAAAGTTCAATCAATCAATTCCAACTTTGTGAGATCTTTTTTTTTTCCCCGCGAGAAGTTGAAATTGATTGATTGAACCTTTTTTTTTTTTTGCACATGGCAGCGGAGGCCTAAAGCAAAAAGGTTTTATAAAATCCATCTGAAGGCTTAGGACTGGGGTGACGGCACACGTGCCCACAGAGAGGGCTCTGTATGCCACCTGTGGCATGCGTGCCATAGGTTCGCCACCACGGCCTTATTGTATATAAGTAGCTGATGGCTACTTATGTAACCTGCTTGGATTGGACACTTAGACATTAAATAAACTTGATCAGCTGACTTGTGTTAATTTATAAAATTTTCTGTAAAAAGGGAAAACGTGAATTCCATCTCGATAGACCGTAGAAATCCTCTAAGGGGCTGCTAATGATGGTTTATACAACTTTCAACCAGGTTGTCCTAGTGTTCCTACGTCACTTCTTTCCCATGGTCTCTCCCTTTTTTCCCTAGGAGAAAGATATTGCGGATCTTTATTCCAATCCAAAAAACGCCAAAGCTTTCACTTTTTATAGTAGGAGTGATGGCAACGCTGATACCTGCTCCTTTGAATCTGCAGAGTTCCCGGGTTGGTTCCTCAGCACTTCTTCAGAAGCCAAAAAGCCTCTTGGTTTGAGTCAAAAAGGAGGACCTCAGAACGTCCTGTTTTATTTTGAAAGAAAACCATGAGCCAGAAATACTCTTCTGCATCTATGTTTCTAATAGAGCTTGGATATACAAATTGGAATGGAGCCAGAATGCACAATTAGGCCAATGATTAGACTTAGATAGTATTCTTCGTACAATCAAAAAGCTTTGGGAGAACTATGTCATATTTTGGGGGAAGGTACAATACAGGTTCATGGATGATATGGACTTGATTGTATGGTCTTTATTTCTGTAGAACAATATTGTCAACATCCAGCTCGCGGATCCAAATAAAAATCCAGGTTGATTCCATTTCCCAAACTCTCCACAACCATCTGTTTCATTGTTTAAGAAGAACAACTCGTGTTCTAGACTGAATGGAAGATTCGCAGAGGACCCAGACTTTCACAGTGGGAAAGGGTGCTGAATATAGTGTATAATGAGAGAAATTTTGCAATATTCAGATATTGCAAATAGGTCGTTAGGAAGCTTAATTTAGTTTAATAGGAGAGCCAACTCCAAAATACAGATGCTGCAGTACAAAGAGAGAGGAAGGTTAATCTGCTCCATGCTCTGGTCAAATCCTGAAAAACGTATTCAGTAGGACTCCCATTGAGTTTTTCCTTGATGCACTCCTGATGAAAAAGTCTCCATCTTCATCACCGTCACCATCATTATCCTTAAACTACCTCCTAGTTATTCTTCCATTATAGCATGATGAAATGGAGGGCATTTCTCCACTTTCTCCTTGGCCCATTGCTGAGAGGGTGATTCGTTGTTGCAAGAACAGATGGTATCTTTTCCCTCCCTCGCCCAACCATTGCAAACGCATCCCATGCCAGCGTTTTCCAATTCAAAACTGCTGCTTGCTGGCCTGAATGGCCTTCAATCCTTATGGGCTGATGGTCTCCAGGCCTTTGATCTTGTCTGGCAGCAGCCACAACCTCTGATTGACTGCAGGGTCTGCACTCACTCTCCCGGTATTAGACGGTTCCTGTCCTGTGCAGCCATTTTATCCTGCGACAGTCTCTGCTGGGTGGCAGCTGCTATTTTATGTTATAGCAATTTTGCAGTTGATCCACCTATGGCCTATTAAATCAGTGACCCTTACTGATGATGTATCCCCTTTCTGTTGCCGACCAAGATGGATAAAGCATGCTCCCTATTGCTTCCTTGCCTATCCATAGTCCTGTAAAGATTTCTTCCCCTTTATGTCTTGTCTTGTCTTGTCTTGTCTTGTCTTGTCTTGTCTTGTCTTGTCTCATCTCGTCCTATCCTATCCTATCCTATCCTATCCTATCCCATTCCATCCCATCCCATCCCATCCCATCCCATCCCATCCCATCCCATCCCATCCCATCCCACCCCACCCTATTAATTTTCCCTGCTATAGACAACAGAGGATTTCCTGTTCCTTTGATGATAGCATCAGAACAACAATTGTATCAGAAAGGGAGAGAAAGGATCCGTGTTAAAGGAAAAGATAACAGTGCAAAAAGAGAGAAACCTCCCCAGGACCCCCTAAAACATATGAATGAAAATCACAATTGTATCCCCTACGTTTGATAGAAGAAAATATATTTTACACATCGCACATACTGGAAGCTACTCTGCTGCTGTTATTTTAAACGCAGGTTTCATTCAAACCATTCAAGCAGAAGAGCACCATCTCAGGCCCTTGGGGTGTGCGCCACAACAATTTCAGTGCAACTCCAGGAAACCTCAAAAACTTTGCTACCAAACTGCAATACAGTGGAGCAATTAGGAAACACATAGCTGGAAAGCGCCATACTTCCTTCCTCGTAATGGGGATTGTAATCATTTAATTCAAAGAAGAAGAATCAAAGAGATTTGGTGTTGAGTATGTATTATGAAGAAATGTTACATAAGAATTCTGGCAAGGGCCCTAGTTTCAGATGAGACACTTATAATGACATCCCTTAAACTCTCCTGAAGATGTTACCTAGCCTGGTAACGAAATGTTCAGGAACCAACCCACGAGCTCAGAGAACGAACCTTCACCCTCATCCTTATACGTTTCATGGACCTAGAATGAGGCAATTTAGGGCAGCTAAACTCTTGCCAATCTCCATATCCTCTTTCAATGCAGAAGGGAGGTTTCAAGTCTCTTGTGAAGGCTGCTTCTGTTCCCTGTCATCAGAACTGCCGCACCTTTGCTTAGTAAGAGAAATAACTCCCACGGAGACTAATCATATTAACCATATTTCATTTGTGTTAACTTTATAATAAATGAGAAGGTGCAGTACTTTATTCAGGTTTTATGCTCACTTCCTACTATTTTTGCCTATGTGCGTGTCCACCTCCTGCATTTTTCAGAGCTGAGTTTTTCTTAACATCAAATAAAGACCATTGAGGCACCCATTACATAAGCTTCAGTTTCGTAATGGTGAATAACAACTTGGCAACCCCTCAGTGTTGGAAAAATAAACAAACCTGTGATAATGTCATCCAGAAAAGAACTGACAGAGCCTCATTCTTTCCAGATGAAGCCTTACTCAAGGGGAAGAATCCATGACTTACTCACAGATGTTTTCAGCTTTTATTTTATTCTAGTTTCGTTTTTTTGTGGGAATCCCTAAGAAATACAAGAGATGTGGTGTTCAAACTTGTTGCTACATCCTAAGACTTGATTGGTTCATTGCAAGCTGTTACTGGTGTGAGATGGAGAGAAGATAACAGGCAGGAAACCAACCAATGATAAAATTTCACGAAAACATGTCTTAATCAAGAATTCCTCCACCGCTACAAAACATACCATCTTCTGAGAGGAGATGACAGGAAATGAGTCTTCCGACCAAGGCAAAGAACAGAGGTACTGTTTCCTGATGTATCTTTGTAGACTTGTTGCAGAAAAATTATTTTCTTCCAGGGCCAGATTACTGAGATGATATCTGGGTTTAGTTCTATTTGTAGTTGATTTCTTCCTGTATCTTGCTGGTGGTACATGGAGCATTAAAACAGCCATTTACACCTGCGACTTTGTTCTCCAGGTTGAAGGGTAATCTTACCAGGAAAGAAACAGGTGAGTTTTTATCTACGAAGGGATCTAAATTTTTAAATAAATCCCATTTTCCATTCCCTGGGGAAATGGGATTTATTTAAGACTGGTGTGAATTTCATGGAAGAGAAAACTACTCAAGAAACTGTACAGCAGGGGTGTCAAACTCGTGTCGTGACGTATCGTGACTTTTTTTCCATTGCCAGCAATGGGATGGGCCTGGTTTCACTATGATGCATCCGGCCCGTGGGCCGGCAGTTTGACACCCCTGCTGTACAATATTCCCTTCCATGTAATTTTTTTTTAAATCAACTTTCTTTCCCTTTCATCATGCAATAACAGCACTTCGAGAGTCAGAATTTGATTCAAGAAATTTGAATTTTTAAAAATCTTTAAGTAAATGTATTAATTAAAATGTATGCTTCAATTTTTTTGTAATTTTAATTTCATATTAGGCTGTCTTTCAAAATACAACCTTTCTTCTGCCAATCTGCCTCTTAAGTGTGATCTTTCTGTGTCCTTTTCACCGGTCCTTATAGCAAGAGATATTTAAGCATCAGAAATTAAGAATAATTGAACATGCTGATGAAGCACTAGCCAGTCATACCAAATGGAAAAAATGTTTTGGTCCCTTTTCCTGGAAAATACTTCTGGTTAACAGGCTTTTAAAATTGCATGCTGTACCTGTTGTGGTGGTATCTGACCAAATAATAAGTGGAAGATCTAATAAATAAACAAATTAGGTGGGAAAACGTTTGGCAAGTGGATATTGTTCTATGATGTCTCTGAGGCAATGTCCACATTTTGAGTGAAGATGACTTACAATGGAAAGAAACTTCTCCATTTTGGCTTGCTACAGGCACAAGAGACCTGTACATGAGTACTCCCAGAGCATGTAACTGAGCTGCAAATTTTGCTGACTCATAGTGAAGAGGTGATGATCTCACCTCAAAGGTTTGGAATTTACCACGTTCCTTGACTGTTTCTTTGGGTGGACATTGAAGCTCATTGGTCCTTAGGCAACCAGGTCAAGAAAAAAAGTCAAACAGCAGACAAAGTAAGAAGCCAATTAAAAAGTCTAAAGGAGAAAAGGCGACTTTTTAAATTAACTATTTTAACACATTTTTAAAAAGTTAACAATAAAAAAATAAACTGTTATTTGGAGTGTGTTTGATGCTTTCAGTTTTCATTTTGCCAAGAAGCAAAGCTAAAGCAATCCTTTCTTTTTTCCAAGCAGCTCTTTCCACGTCCATCTTTGTTAAGAACAAAACAATAACACAACCTGAAGATCAAGGAAACTTAAAGAAATTTAAAACAGTTTGAAAAGAGAAGAGGCATGGCAAATAAATTATATAAGATATCATGGGAGAAGCAAATGGAAGATTTATTCAATGCATTCAGGCCAACACCAGGTGATTTTTTTTTTTCATTTCTGTTGTCCTTGAGATATTTCCAAACCATGACTACATCCTTAATCATTTAGTCAATACAGAAATGAAGAATATTTTCCTGTTTTATGAGACATGCTTATTTATTTAATTTATCAAATATATTTGCCACCCATCTCGGGGTACAGGTGACTCTGAGCTAAGATTAGGGATTAGAGAAGGTTGATGCTAAATTACTCAGGAAAATTCCTGTGCAGAACTGATGCCATGTATGATGCATGCATACATTCTGATATCAGATTAACCACCTACTTTTTTCAGTTTGTAGTCTTGAGTGTAACTGAGTGGTGGTTCATACAGTTCTTTGGAATCGATTGTAAGCCATCTACTGTTAATGTACATTGCTTAAAATGGATTCTAAAACAACCCCTAGGAATGGATTCTTTCATCTCTTCGTAAGGAAGCCAATTCAAGGCATTAGATTCTACAGAGAAAGAGGCCAAACATAGCAATAGAGAAAGTTTGCATTTTTGCAGATATTTGGGGATATCTTGTTGGAAGTTGGTTTATGAATACATAAATCTGCAGTTGTCCAAGGTGTAAAGAGAAGGAGAGGAATGGTGAGAGAGTTTGTTTTTACTTCTTTTTAAAATTCCCCATTACTGTTTCTTTCTGCAACATCTCAAGATTCTTCAACTATATCTTAAGAAATAGTGTTGATCCCAAACTTTCAGTGACATTAGCAACTTTAAAGGTATTACATTCCAATATTTTCATTGGAATCTTCATTGGAATATTCAGCATTTGGAACATTCCCTTTGCTTGTGGTTTATGTGTATGTGCATATTCCTGTAGATTCTTCAGTACCTACTACAGAAAAGGCGGAACAACCCTGGAAGTTTAAATTTTGGGATATAAGCAATCAGTTTCTCAGTGTGGTGAACAACAAGTTGATAGCAACGCCACAAAATTCAAATTCACCAGGTAACAAAAAAAAAAAATCTCTTATATTTTGCTGGAATATTTTAGTCCTAGTATTAGCCAAATTATTGATGGGACATCTTTGATGTTAGTAATTATTATAGTCACCAAGATTCGGATTGATCCATCACAACAATGATGGAGCTATCAGGATTTGTTATCCAACAGTGAGTTAGAAAAAACTGAAAACCTGTGAATGGTCCATTCTCTGATATTTCATCGCCATCATGATATTGTTGGGCACCCATTTGTCTTGGGCACCTGCCTGTCTGTCAACATGATTCCTACCCTACAGTTTTCAGGATGATACAAATTAAAAACAAAAGAAAATGAAAAGGTTTTTCAAAAAGCGTAAGGTTTTCATAAGTTTTCAGTATTACTTTCATTATGTTTGTAAATGTCTTGGGGTAGATTTATTGCTTTCATATAATTTAACTGCTGTCTAGTTCCTATTTGTTGATGTTTTCTTGTGATTGGCCTTCCAGCCTGGGTTGCAGTACACACACACACACACACAAACACAAACACATACACAGGGTGGGGCAAGAAGCTCAGTCATTTTTAGGAGCCTCTACAATATTATCTGAACATTTCCACTAAGTCTACACTGATCTAAATAATTTGGAATTCCCAATGATCCTTTGTGTCATGTCCACCTTCTTCTACTCCACCTTAGTTACAATTATCTGCCATTTATTTTGGTAAAGCATATTGTTAACCTTCAGTCAGTGGTTTCTCAGTCAATGTTTCCAAATCAATGAAACCATTGACTCTGTTTTCTTTCATATTATTTTTCCCCCAGAGAGTTCTTTTGATGTAGTTCCTAATACCTCCTTAGATTCAAAAAGGAATCCAATCTTTATAGGTGCTAATAATTGTGTTCTGTCCTGTATAAAGTCTGGTGATGGACAGCTTCAATTACAGCTCATGGTGAGTATTTCATTTGTACTCATTCTTTTTCCTAGAAAAATAGCTGGTTCTCCTTTTTCACTAGGATTAGGGTTGTGTCTACTCTGTGAAATAAGAGGACTCGCAATCTGCTCGTAAATAAGCATGTGCCAGATTATAGTAAATGCTACCTTTCTCCGTCATTGTTTCTCCCTGATATAATTAGTGGTAGGGGTTTTTTTGTGTGTTTTACTTTTCACAAGTAAATTAAATTGTAGTTCTGGACTTCTCGGTATGGAAAAGCAAAGTACTGCTGAGACTACTACACGTGTAATTAAAAGCTTCCTGTGGTTCCAAGTTCTAAATCAGAAACATTGATACTCCTTCAGTGGGAAGAAGTCTTCTGCAAAGTCATTCTCCATTGTAGCCACGATGTCATGTGATTATAATATACTTTGTTTTGCTAAAGAAGGCTTCCCCTTTTTTTTTTAGGAGGAAAATATTATGAAGTTGTACACAACACCAGAAAACTTCAAGAATTTCACTTTCTACAGCAGAAGTGAGGGCAGGCCAGAGATTTGCACTTTTGAATCTGCAGAATTCCCAAGTTGGTTCCTAAGCACTTCATCAGATTCAAACAAGCCTATTGGTTTAAATAAAAAAAGGAGGACCTGAAAACGTCTTGTTTTATTTTACAAAGATATCCTAAATCAAATTTTTAGATGGAGAAGATAGTTATTTTGGTGCAGAAGAAGCAAAGGAAGAAGGTGGAGTCAAGAAAGGATTCAGCTTAGAATCATTAGGTTCCCACAACTGATCCAAGTCCACCCCCTCTTGATTTCCATTAACTCTTGTCTAGCACCAATTTAATGTTGACTGTTAGTTAAGTAGATTCTTGTTAGCTAACATTTTTCACCTTCGATCTAGGGATTTGTAAAAATTAGCATGCACAAAATATCCTTCGCAACCAATACCGTTTTCCAGCTTGTGGGTGTGAATTTGCATTAACCAGTGAATTAATTTTTTGCATTTCTTTTGACTCACATTTTGTACATGGAGTTACTGGCATTTCTTATTAATAAAAATATGTTTCACAAGTATGCTTGGTACTTTATCTTGCTAATAATTTCCTGTTGGAGAGAACGATCCTCATTTAGTGTGGAGTTGATTTCCTAACACGTTTCACTCATGCCTCTACTGTTTGACGCATGGATGCCAGGACATGTAACAGCTGAAAGCAATGCAGCAACAATGGGCTTTAACCAGAAAAGCAGGGATAAGATGATGCAAATCCAGCACACCAGAGAGAGAAAGGGAATGCTCTAATCAGTGTTTCTCAACCTTGGTGACTTGAAGATGGGTAGACTTTAACTCTCAGAATCCGGCTGGCGGATTCTGGGAGTTGAAGTCCACCCATCTTCAAGTCCCCAAGGTTCAAAAATGCTGCTCTAACTGAAAGGATAAGGGTAATTTAGGCGTGGGAAGAGTAGCTAACAAAGGTGGAAATGATAGAGTTCCACCTCTGCTCCTGTATATAGGTAGTCCTCGACTTACGACTACAGTTTAGCCTGGAATTTACGTTGCTTTATGTTACTAAGTGAAAAATTTTTAAGTGAGTTTTGCCCCCCCCATTTTACAACTTTTCTTTCCCTATTTGTGAAGCGAATCGCTGCAGTTGTTAAATTAGCAAGAATCTGGCTTCCCCCATCGACTTTGCTTGTCAGAAGGTCACAAAAGGGGATCCCATGACCCCGGGACATTAAAACCGTCATAAATGTGAGCCAGTTGTCAAGCATCCAAATGGGAATCAGGTGAACCTGTAGAAGCTACAACGGACAGAAGTGCGTAAGATGGTCATGACTCACTTTTTTCGGTGCCATTGTGTAACTTTGAATGGTCACTAAACAAACTGCTGTAAGTTGAGGACTACCTGTTCTGGGTTTGACAGGAAGAGATGGCGGAGTACTTCCGGTGATCTTGCTGACTGTAGACCCTGGGGAACGATCGTCCGTTCCCTGGGTCCGAAATTCCTTCGCTGGCGAGCCCGTTTGGGCTAAAAGCCACCCTGGAGGGGTGGCTGCTGAAGGGCAAACCTTTGGGGAACCGGAGCCGGCTCTCCGAACCCACAGCAGCCCCTGGAACCAGCAAAAGAAAGCCGGATCGTATTTATGCGAGTCGCCATTAGCAGCTGATCTTCGGAGGCAGAAAACAACTGATTTTGAAAACAAGCAGCCTGTCCGGGTGAGACTATACTTCTGCTCTTTGTGGAAAGTGGATTTTCTTGGAGAGAAATAACCTGTCTTTAATTAAAGCTGACCTCCTTGAGTCCCATACCTGAGGCTGAAGTTCTGGTTTGAGGAGGGTTGCATAGCAGCAGCAACACAAATAAGTGGATATCTTATCTGATTATCTGAGTTTCTCAGATGGGAGTATAAGGAAGGAAAAAAAATAAGAGTCCTGGGACTTCCAGAGCTAAAGGAAGGGATCTAACAAAAGCTAGCAACCTCAGAAGCAATGTAAGACCATGCAAGTATGACCACATTCCACTCTGGGAAATGAATGGCTCTTAGTCAGTGATGACCCAATGGAGGGAAGAAGAGATACAAGTTTTGAAAATGTCTAGTTTAATGAAAAGAAGGACTAGGGGTGACATGATAGCAGGGTTGCAATATCGAAGGGGCTGCCACAAAAAAGAAAAGAAAGAAAAGAAAAAGGGATCAAGCTATTCTCCAAAGCACCAGAAGGCAGGACAAGGAGCAACGAATGGAAGCTAATCAAGCAGAGCGCCAACCTAGAACTAAGGAGAAAATTCCTGACAGTGAGAACAATTAATCAGTGGAATGATTTGCTTTCAGAAGTTGTGGGTGCTCCATCACTGAGGGTTTTAAAGAAGAGATTGGACAATCGTTTGTCTGAAATCGAATAGGGTCTATAAAGTTCCTTCCAACCCTTTTATTCTGTTATTCTGAACCTCAAGCCTAATCTCTCCCTCCCTCCCTCCCTCTCTCTCTTTCTCTCTCTCTGTTTTTGTAAGTATGTGTCTGTCTGTCTGTCTGTCTGTCTGTCTGTCTGTCTATCCACCTACCTGCCTGCCTGCCTGCCTGCCTGCCTGCCTGCCTGCCTGCCTGCCTGCCTGCCTGCCTGCCTGCCTATCTATCTATCTATCTATCTATCTATCTATCTATCTATCTATCTATCTATCTATCTATCTATCTATCTATCTATCTATCTATCTATCTATCTATCTATCTATCTATCTATCTATCTATCTATCTATCTATCTATCTATCTATCTATCTATCTATCTATCTATCTATCTATCTATCTATCTATCTATCTATCTATCTAGGCCAGGGGTAGGCAACCTTGGCTGGCTCAGGAATTCTGGGAGTTGAAGTCCATGAGTCATAAAAGAGCCAAGGCTGCCTACCCCTGATCTAGGCTTTGAATCTGTTCTTCAGATTCTGAGTTTGGGTCCGGGTGAAGTCTAATCAGATAACAAAGACAAGTGTTCACCTGTCATAGTAAAGCCATCTTGTTGGATTGGCTGATTTACTGGGTTGTATGGCTCTACTGACTGTAATTTGTAAATCATAGCTTATGATTTAACATATTTTGCAAACTGAGCCAAGTGTAATTTGTTTACAATCAACTATAGTTGCAACAATGAACAACAGGAAACATTTGATATGTAGCACTAATATAACCCCATGCATCAGCTAATTCCAGATGGTACTTGAATGTTTCTCTCCGAAACTCTTTTTTGTGTGTGTGTGGAATGTATTGAGAAATAAATTGGTTTCTTTTTTAGAAATTAATTAGGGTTCAGCTAACACATTAACTCTCTGGAATGCATTTAAAACATCCATTAAGGGATCTTTTTATGCTTTCGACTTAGAATAAAAGAGACTTAGGGACTCCAATTTTATAAAGCTGGAACAGTTGGTTAAGACTGACTTTAGTTATATACTAGAAATCCCGCAGAGAAATCAGATGGAAGTATTTACAGCAGCAAAGTTTATATTGGGGATTTTATAGTCAGGACAGTTTAAATATCTTTGAAAAGTATTAACTTTTAACCAAAATATTAACCAAAAATACTGGGAATCAGGAAGGCAAGCTGAGAATTTACTGGCCCACCATTCAAAGAAACGGAAATCATAAAACTATACATCTAGAATTCAGACTAATGATGGACCCATTTACTGAAACAGAATCCATTAATCAAAGGTTTTATGATTTTTGTACTCAGTTATGTCAATTAGAGATTTCCGTAACTAGACGCACAGTTTTAATTTCCAGGAACACATTGAAATATAGTAGACTTAACAATAGAAAAATATATGGATACAAACAATGACATGACAAGAAATCACAGCAACACTGCAGTCTATAAAATCAAGCAAACTCTTTGAACTGGATGAATTTCCCGTTAAATGTTATAGAACGTTTATAGACTTACTGGCACCAATACTATTGGAGACCTATAATCAATCATTTAATCTCTTTATAGTTCCTTCATTGTTTTATAAGGCTTATATTACAGCAATATTACAGCCTTACAATCAGCCTTCAAAATGCAAGGGGGAAATTAAAATATTAAAAACAACAGGAAGTTACAGAAGGTAAATATCTTCTAGAACACATTTATCCAAGCCTGAAATCATAAAAAAAATAGACAAACCACTGATAATATTCATTGTTATTTCTTCCGTTCAGTCATGTGGATTCTCAGAGACCTCAGAGTCCAAGGTCACCCAGCTGGCTTTGCACCTAGGAAGAATGACTGCTCGTGGGCTTCTGGTTTCTAGCATGATGCCTTAACCTAGGTTTTTTTCTCTCTCTACCTTGGCAACTTTAAAAAGTGTGGGTTTAAACTTTCAGAATTTCCATGCTAAGTTCCCACTGAATTCTACTCAACTTTTCATGCTGGCTGGAAATTTTGAGAGTTGAAATCCATCTGTTTTAAAGTTGCCCAGGTTGAGAAACATTGCTTTAACCACTGTACCAAACTGGCTCTTATTTATGAATATAGCTGCCGATAAATAGATATTTGAAATAGTATAAAACAACAAAGCTCACCTGTCTATTCAATCTTTTATTCCCAGCTTCATGCCAGCTCATGATTTGCTAGAAAGAAATAAAGAAAGAAGGAAAGAAGGAAAGAAGGAAAGAAAGAAAGAAAGAAAGAAAGAAAGAAAGAAAGAAAGAAAGAAAGAAAGAAAGAAAGAAAGAAAGAAAGAAATAGAGCCAAAATAATAACTATGGATTGTAAAATATGATAATAAGAAAAAAGGTTGGGGGGAGGAATGGTAAATTTATAATAGAAGTCAGAGCATCCTGTTTTTTGGATCCGTATTAATTTCTTTTTCTTTATAGCCGTGATAAAAAAAAATTGAGCTGCCCTTAAAGTTAACATATGCTTTTTATGTATCTCTCAATAAACTGATGGCAGATTTGGCCAAATAGAAGTCAGTAGCTTCTTCTTTTAAAATGAAGGAATTTGATAACGGCAAAGATAACTCACTCACCAAGCTTACTAAGGCCTAGTTTGCTAAACCACAATGTGGTGAAGAAATTGCAATTGTGCGTGAGACAAAAATATGGAACTTTATACAGTGCATTTCATGTCAGATACAGTTCGGCCCATGATTTTCAATAGACTGAAGATTTAATTATAGAGAAGAAATTTCTCTTTTATTCCACAGAGTGGAGGTGTTGTTCAACTATCTACTCAAGAGTATAGTATAACTGAGAGCCAGTTTGGTACTATAGTGGTTAAGACTTCAGGCTAGAAAATGAGAGACCCTGAGTTCTACTCCCACCTTAGGCACATAGTCAGCTGGGTGACTTTGGGCCAATCACTTTCTCTTAGCCCTAGGATGGAGGCAATGGCAAACCATTTCTGGAAAATGTTGCCGGAACATATCCAGGCAGACTCTGAGAATCAGACACAAATGAACAGAAGGGGAAAAAATGGTTATAACAAGAACACAAAACATTTTCTATTGAAATTGCTCTGTAGTAGTAACTGCGAGAGGGATCTTGGGAGTCCTAGTGGACAATCACTTAAATATGAGCCAG